CTTGTACATATTTTTAGGATGTACTGTGGTAAGTTGATACTTGTTATAACATATAATGACAAAGCTCAATATAATTATCATTTTCTCCCTCCTCAAATGTCTATCATTTTATATAATTTTCCTAGATATTTTGAAATATGTAATTGCTGTGCATTATTATAATTGCCTTATGATTACCTTGGTATACTTTAAAACAATAGAAATAATTCTCCCAATTATGTTTCAGTATCTGTTCTCCAAACTCCCTGTATCCCTTCCCAAGCAACCTTCCCAGGCTCTATTGACAGCTCTTTGAGCATCTGCTTCCATGAAGTCAATATGTTAGTATTCAAAAATGTGCAATAGCATGTGGTGTTAGTCTTCCAGTCATGATTATTTTCACTTACTGATTTCCATCCATGTTGCTACAAATGACAGAATTTCGTTGTTTTGTGACTAGATAGCATTCTGTTTTATATAGAATGGAGAAATTGGTTCCAATGGAATAGAGGATGCAGAAATGAATTTATATACTTGGAATCAACTATTCTTTTACAAAGTTGAGAAAAACATTTCTTAAGAAAGTGATGGGGAACTAGATATTTATACAGGAGAATTAAGTGGGTTTCTAATTCTTACAACATAAAATGAATGAACTATTAGGATAAAACAAACTAGAAGTACTCTAATGTATTGGCACTGACCAAGATTCTATAGATAACACAAGCAAAAATCAGCAAGTGAGATTATGTCAAATGAAGAAACTTCTATACACCTCAGGCATATATCCACAGAGGAAATAGAAAACCTGCAGAATGGGAAAACTATTATTTATGTATATAGATATAGATATAGATAGATATAAATATATATAGATATAGATATAGATATAATATGTATGTGTGTATATATATGTGTGTGTATATATATATATATATTTAACTTTGATCATATTCTTCCTGTTACCATTTTTATAGCCCCTTCTACTCATGCTGTTCCTTTTCATATTCTCAAATAGTCTTCATTACTTGAATACATACCTATTTTTTAAAATCTACGTTCCACATCGAAATTCCACATACAATATTTAGTTTCTGATTTGGCTTATTGTACTTAATCATCTCTAGTTCCCTCTATTTTAATATAATTTTACCATTTCATTCTTCATTTTGGTTGACCCAAATACTCCATTAACTATGAACTTCACATATTCTTTATCCATGCATTTACTGATGTGCACTTACATTAATTGTAGGTCTTGGCTATTGTGAACAGTTCCATAACAAACACTATGAAAATATCTTTATGGTGTACTAATCTTGGGTCTATGGCCAGAAGTAATATCAATGGATAATATGGTAGTTCTATTTTTAGATTTTTTTTTATTTCCATAGTGGCTGGACCAAGTTACATTCAAAGCAAAAGTATATAAGGTCCTTTTCCTCCTGTATTCTTACTAGAATTTGTTTGTTTTTCATAATAGGCATTCTGTCAACTAAACAAGGCTCATAGGTTCTCATAGAAATTGAAGCATCAATCATGGAGCTTACATGAGTCTGTGCTAGATCCTCAGCATATTTTTTTTTTTTTAGCTTGGGGTTTTTGTGGGACTCCTAACAGTGACAGTGGATGTCTCTGACTCTTCTGCCTGCTCTTGGAACTCTTCCTCCTACTGGATTGCCTAATCCAGCCTCGTTATGCCTAACTTTATTGCATCTTGCTATGACATGTTCAGTTGATACCCCTGGGAGAACCACTCTTTTCTGAAGGGAAATAGAGGAGCTGTAGATCTGGGGGAGAGAAGAGCTGGGTCGGGGAAAGGACTAGAAGGAGTGAAGGGAGAGGAAACTGCAATCAGGATACATTGTACAAGAGGGGAATAAATAAAACGAAAAATAAAAGTCCTTCTGACTAGAGTGAGATAGAATCTCAATGAAATTTTGTTTTGTGTTTTCTATTTTCTAGTGATACTGATACTAGATATTTTTCCCATCTATTAGCTATTTGTATGTGTTTTGTTAAGCATCTTTTCTTTTGCCCATTTGTTGTATGATTTGTTTTTTATGTTGAATTTGTTGAATTCTTTATATATTCTAGATAATTACCCCCTGTCTGGTAATTAGCTGCAAAATTCACCCATTATGTAGACTGTCTCTTAACTCTGGTGACTATTTACTTTTTGTTGTAGAAGCTTTTTAAATTTTATACAATTCTACATGTCAGATCTTGGTAGTATTTCTGGAGCTGTTGAAGTACTTTTCAGGAAAGCCTTTGCCTGTGTCTTTAATATTAAAGTGCTTTATCTATGTTTGCTAGAGAAAGTTCTAAATTTCAAATATTACATCAATACCTTTGATCTAGAATACTAGAAAAGAAAGAACTATCCATTTGACAAGAGATTATCATTTAGAGAAATTGTGTGTGTGTGTGTGTGTGTGTGTGTGTGTGTGTGTGTGTGTGTAGCCAAACTATAAAAATAAAAGCAAATCAATTATTTTTGTTTTTATATGCACAGTGGTAATAAATTTATTAACTTAATTTTTTAATATTTTGTCTATAAGCATCAAAGAAAATCTTAAAAGCTATGACATAGACAGCCAGCTAGCTGCCCCCTTGACTTAGGAGAGATAACTGTTTCCTTGGCTTTTTCATTTATTTCTCTCTGTGTTCAAAGAAATGTAGTCACTTATCCACTTTGTACTTTTCATATAAATAAAATGATACTCCATATTCATTCTCTTTCTCCCCCTCTCTGTCATGTACGTGTGTGTGTTGTGTGTGTGTGTGTGTCTTTGTGTGCCTGTGGGAATGTATATTTGTGTGCATGTGTGTCTGTGGGTATGCATCTATGTGTGTGCCTGTGCATATATTTGCATGCATGTGTGTGTCTGTGTGTAAATGTGTATGTGTAGATCTCTATGTATGTGTATGGGCTTATTTGTTTCTCACCAAATTATGCTCCTGTCTTAAGATTGTTCTGTGATCTTTGTATAATTTGACTTTGAAGGATGTACATCTCAATTTGTTAACTCTATTGCCTGTGAACATTTGAACTTTTTCTAGTTTGGAAGCTAACACAATCAATTATAGTATAATTAACTATAAGTGTGAAATTTGTTTTAAAAATATATGGATTTAGAAATGATTCCCACAATAATGCATGTATATGTGAAATTTTTGAGCTTGACAGATAATGGTATGGGTTTCAATATAAGAAAAGTAATTATTTTATGATTTAATGAAAAGTATCACATGCAATAATTATACTGAATAACAAAGCAAAATCTTAAGACACTAGAACATTTCCTTTTCTTTTTAAGGAAGAAATTTATTTTGAATTATGTGTGTCCATGTATGTACATGTATGCATGTACATGCAGTTGTATTTGGAAGCCAAAGGCTTCAGTTTCCCTGGAGCTGGAGCTATATGCCATTGTGAGCCATTTGACATGGATGCTGGGAGCTGAACTCCATATAAACAATACATGTTCTTAATCAGTAAGCCATGCCTCCAGCTCCTCCTGACTATTCTTTTTCAAGAAGAGAGAGAGGGGGGAAAAGAGAGAGAGAGAGAAAGGGAAGAAAGGAAGAAGAGAAGTGGAGAGAGGGAGGGAAGAGAGGAAATACCAAGTTTCTTTCATGTTTTTAAGGAGTTACAATTGATTATTAGCCCTTTTGAAATTTTCAAATGAGGCAACATAAGCTCATTCATCTGAATCTGAAAATCAGTTGCAGAAAACCCAATATTATATACCATTAGTAACCTGCCCATCATGAGACAGAACATCATGAGAACTAGAAAGTACCATTTTAAAAATCTGTCTGAGAACAACAGTCAGGAGAGCAAATGAAATTTGACTAGTCCAACTTGCAAAGAATTAATAAGTCATGCATTCACCCATCAAATATTGATATGGCTCCATGGGTATGTTACAGCCCAGGGATGTAGAGATGAGATGACACAGCACCTGCTCATGGAGAGCTCTAAGTGACAGGCAAGTGAAGTATATTACAGACAAATATTTGCATTCCCAGAGTGGCTGGTGCTGAAGAGGAATATGCAGCCCACAGTGAAGGGGGGTTTTCTCCCTGAAGAGGTCAGAGACTACTTCTGAAAGGAGGGGAGACTGCAACTGGGACTCAATATGGGTTGGAGTTGGCCAAAAAATATAGAAGCAAGAACCATGCTAGAATGGCTAAGTGTTCCCAACATGGCTGGCCACAAGTGTTTATTATGTGTATGGTGACAGATAACAGTACATGGAGAGATCATTGGGAATTCAGTGAAGTGAATGCAGAATGCTTTTAAATGTTATTGTGTGATTAGCCTTTTATATGGGTTACCTGTTTATTCCTCATACACTGTCCATGAGAGATGTTGTGCTAGCACATTGAGGGTCAGCTTCTGTGCATAGGGATCCATACATTTGGGCTAATGCTTCACACTGGTCGTTAGAATTCCTTAGTCATTCTAAACATGAGTTGTGCATTGCTGTTGTGCGCTTCTCCCCATAAATCTGATAGAGTCCAGTGTTTCTGTTCCTTCTTTGCAGAAGTCAGGACCCAGAGAGCAAAGCCAACACACTGTATCACTTGACTGTGTAGTAAAGATGGAGCCTGAGTGTTTCTTGATGCCAAAGTTATTAAGCATGACTTTTGTCTCCAGTGTTCAAGGAGAATGAACCTTACTACAGTTAATGAGAGTCAAAATACAGCAGCCTGGTACATACTTGTAATTCCACCATGTGGGATGTACAGGCAGGGGAATCAAGAGTTCCCAGGTCATCTTCTGTTATTTAGTGAGCTCAAAACCATCTTGGGCTATGTGGGCCTCTCACAAAAGAATACAAACAAACATAAAACAATAAGACTTAGTCTACTAAATTAGAAAGAAAAAAGAAATAAAGCAGTACAAAAAGACATACATTTAATGATTAATTTAAGAATAAATATATAAAACCTGGCTACCGTGTTCATGATTCTGAGGTAAATAGGGAAACCCAAAATGAATCATTACTCACTGTAAAGTCTACTCATGAAGTAAGTGCTTCTCTGAACTTAAAATTGTGTCTCAAAGTGAGTCTGTAGTCTTTTGTACAATGCAGGCCAGTTCAGTAGGGATCTACATCTGCATTGGTCTTTTTTTACAAGGGAACAAAGGTCTCCTACTTTGTCCAGGAACCAGGAGCAGGTGGAGGGCTAGACCCAACTCCTCCTGTGTTGGTCTTCATCTGAACTGCTCTGTCCTCTGAGTGCATTCATTGAATTCTGCATCTGATTTGGATTCCAGTGCCTGCTTCAGAAGCACAGCCTGCTCAGCCCTCACTTCACATTTTTATGCGTGCCTCATGTCAATTTGGGAAAAGAAAGTAGTATTTTTATCTTTGTTTTCTTTTTTTTCAAAGTACTTGCAAAGTCCACCCTTCTTGGAAAACCAGCAAATCCAAATTCCATGATATTAAAGAATTACTTCCTAGAACATTCCTGATTCGTTCATTCTGTTTGAGATGATGCCTTGAGGTTATTCCAAAGCACCTGTGGATTTCAGGGGCCAAGTAGAGACCACAAAAGAGCATGCCTATTACATAAAGGGTGTGTTTTTCCTAAGTATATCCATTACATTTTTATAACAAAAACAGCATAATTCTCTTGTGATTCATCTCTTCAGCTTCCAAAAATATCAGCTACACCTAAATGTTGTTTTGTGGAAATAGGCACATCTGGGATGAATAAATTGCCCGGTGGTAGTGTTAATGACCATATTTGTTCAGTATATTCCCCCAAGGGCAGAAGGGTGGGACAGCATCTCAGTATCTCCTTGTCATTGATGGTCCATGGCTGAGATAAGGCCCAGCAAGGCTGCTCCTCACCTTTAGAGCAAGAACTTGGGTCAAAGACATAAGTGAAGACAGAGCAAAGGTTGAGAGCAAATCAGAAATGCCGTGTTTAAATCTGATATTTGGGCTGGACACTAAAGGGAGCACTACATTCAGGATCATTGGAAGTTACTTCATGTCCTTCTAGAAGGACAGTTGAAGAGACCCAAGCTACATGAAGGCAGGGTCTGTTAGATCAACCTCTGGCTCTAGTTAGTAACTTGTGTTTCTTGGTGGACATTCAAGAGATAGGACAATTCCAAGTCCGTACAATGACAAAACTTTCAGAGGAAAGAGATCTTTCTCCACCTTGACTGCACATTTTGATCACCTGGGGGGCTCTTAAAACTCCACAGTCCTGAGTTGCATCCCATAGCAATTAAGGGAGTTTCTCAGTGGTTGGACTTTAGGCCTTGCTATAACTTTACGTTGCCCCTGGGTCCACTTTACAGCAAGGCTGAGAATGGGTGGTTTGAAGTAAGATATTTACTGAAGTGCTTGTGGCTTGGTTTAGCCACTTAAGTATCTCTCACACACACATTTATAATAACTCACCGTCCATTGCAGTTGTACTTGAGCATGCATGTACTCAAGTTACACTGCATAGTTTGTGCAGACAACTAAGGAGTCTTACATCACTCTTAGGATTCAGTGCACATCACCAAAGCCTGGGACCTTTAACCAGGAACCCATGTTGCCCCTCCAAGAACCACAGGTCAGGAACTGTGTGTATTGAAAGGGGACAGGGATGAATATGCACAGGTTCATATGTGCTTTTTCAGGGTTCATTTGCATTAAAAAATTTTTGGTTGTCATTGTAAGAATCTTACTTTAAATTGCCTTACCAATCCTTCCACTCAGTCATGGTCCAGATTAAATGTGCTCATTCTCAGTCACATGTAAATAAAGTAATGGGGCTGGAAAGATGGCTTGTTTAGTGAACTGATTGCATGGGGACCTGAGTTCAGATCCCTAGCAAATATGTAAAAGCCATGCACAGTGATACACATCTATAACATTAGAGTTTACAAAGGAGAAATCTGCACATATATATGTGCATATCTGCATGAATACATACATATGACTCACACACACACAAATAAAATTTGGATGTGGATGCTCAAATTTATGTTTGACAGAAAGATGATAAATATCCCAGAAGAATGATCCCCTAGGTCAAGCAGTAAGCAATTGTGAACCACATCTTAAAATTTGAATAAAGTTCTCAGTACTTTTAATAGATTTCAAAAATTCTTCAAGAAATAAAAGCAGCAGTCTCAAGTTTGTATTAAAAAAAAAAAAAGGAAAGGGTAAGTCATGCCATCATGCCTGTAGTGCTTTTATAAGTTTGATTATGAATGGATGGTTTTTCCAGAGTTGATTCCTAAAATATCTCTTAAGAAAAAAAAATATGCTTCTGTGGTCAAAATCCGGGAGCAAACCATCACAGGTTTTTTTGTTGTTTATTTGTGTGCATGCGTGTGTGTGTGTGTGTGTGTGTGTGTGTGTGTGTGTGTGTGTTACTGTTTATATCTTGACAGCAGGACTGATTCCTATGTCATTGGAGAAATTAGTAAAATGAAATCCCATGGTAGGAACCTCTCTCTTTCTTAGATCATGGTCTTACTCTTAGTGATGTTTTATGCCATTTTATAACTAGTTCCTTTGGGGCTGGAGAGGTGGCTCAGTGGTTAAAAGGACCCAGTTTCAGGGGATCTCAGTAGAATTCATGGGCCTCTGCTGGCACCAGGCATGCATACAGTCCACACACATATATGCAGGCAAAGACACCATACAAATCTTTAAAATATAATAAAAATAATACCTTTATCATACATTCATTATTTTATCACATGTATTTCCTTATGTTTTACTCCATACATCAAGCTTATAAATGCATGTTTTTAAATTTAAGAAGTTCTCTGCAAATACAGCACAAGGACACCATAAAAACCACATTTGTTATTTGATATAACCTACTTGACAGGCTGAAGGGCTAACAATACATTAGTTACATAGAAAGTATACACTCCCTTTGAGTGTCAATGCAGTATTGAGTGTGCTCTCTCTACAGCTCAGTACATCACCAAACTTTAGTGTAAACAAATACCAAATGAAAATGCAGTGGACCAAGCAAATTCCGATACAAACATTAACCAAGGTATCCTGGAGAGTATAACTGTGGACTGTGGTTGAGATGATGGCATTAACTCTTTTTCCCTCCCACTCAGAACTAAGTTGTCACTCACTCCTCTCAGGTGTCTTTCTCATCCCACCGTCAAAGGAGCAACCCTTTGCTCTAGAGAATGCTGAAATTCAGGCATAAAAAACTGCTTAGTTAGTCAGTCTATGGGCAGCCAAGCCAGGATTAACTCAGATCTCTAAACTTAAATCCACTGTACCTTTTTTCACTTAATGGAGCATACCAAATTGTGTTACTCCCAGAAAAATAATTCTGTTCACAGTGGTAGCATTGAAGCTGAAATTAACCTACTGGACAAGCTTCAATTTGTTTGCTTTAATTAAGGAACATAAACATTCATACATATGCAGCATATAAACATTAACTGTATCTAACATATTAAATATACTTAGATATTTAAAATGTACCTTCAAGTATATGTTATGAAAGACAAAATAATGTGGTCAAAATGTTTAAGACTCTTTTGAGAACATGGAGTAGAAAGAGGGTGGAATCCAAGGCCATGGTTCGGTGGGGTTTTGTTATCAGTTGATTGGTTGCTTTTCACAGTTCTGGGGATAGAACCCAGGCCTCATGTATGCTCAGAATGAACTCCAGTAATCTATACCCTGAAGTCCACAAATGTGGGATACTTGTTTATCCAATATAAACATGTCAGAAGGACAGCCCTCAAGTAGCAAGATGGAGAAAAACTGGGAAAAGAATTAGGGAAAGTAGGGCCGGGGAAATGGTTCAGTGGGTGAGAATGCTCATTGCACAGGCATGGAGACCTCAGTTTGAATCCCTCATAAAAGGCTCGATGAGGTCACCAGTGCGTGTAACTCCAGTGATATGGGGCAGAGATAAGGACCTTGCTGGGACTTGATAGACTCTAAACTAGCTCTAGGTTCAGTGAGAGACCCTGCCTTAAGGGGATAAGATGGCACACCCCCATCCTCCTCTTGCATCCATACATTTGGATGTATGCATGCACATACCCATGTGCATATATCATACATATATTTCTCCTGTACTGATCTTTCACACATATGAAACAAATATAGGTGAACAAAAGATTTGATGTAAATAAAAAGGATCAGGGAAAGGAACAGAGAGAATGTTTCAAAAACAGTGAATAAAAAGCAATGCTTTATATGGCTTCTCTAACTTTCAGCATATGCCTCAGATTCCACTGGCAATTGTATTTGAGGAAACATTCAAATACTATATACAATATCTTGAATTACAAAGATCTATTCACTCACTATAGAAAATCATCATTGGTTCTAAGGCTAACTCAAAAAAAAAGCCTAATTAGTTTTATTGTCATGGGAAGAAAACTTCACATGCTAAATATGGGATCTAAGCATCAGGAATTCTGAGATATGCCTTTCAGGGTCAAATTGACAATGGGAACAGATCCACAAAGATGCAATGGGGTCAAAGAATGAATCCTCATCCCTACTTCTTTTATTTTTCCTAGAGTTGCTTAAGTGAAACATTTTATATTTGCAGATAAAATTACTTATCCATTCATTGCAGTATTCACTTTAAGTATATTTCATCCAATAATGGACTATGAGTAACAAAGGTTATTTTCAGTTCTTTCAGTTAGTTGATTGTGATATGCTTGAATTTAACATGCTTTCTCCAAATGAAGCTTTTTTTTTTTTTTTTTTTTTTTTTTTTGGTGGACAATATAAGTTCTTCAGCCATGATAAAGAGCACAGGAAATGTTACATGAAGTGTAAAAATTTACTATTTAATGTCAGCCTAGATTGTTCAGTGGACAAAGAAAACTCAAGCTTGTGTGTATCTATTTCCATTTTTCTTTTTAACTTGGCATGTCAAATTGGTTCCTATTTTTATTTCTTGAGAAAATAATGTGTTTGGCTGTTATTTACCGAAACCACATGTGAAACTTAGCGTGTGCACACACGCTAGCATTCTGTTTTGCAGTTCTGATTCACTGTCTGGCTCACGAATACCATAATTACCCATATTCATACGCAGATCACGGTCGTTGTAATCAAAGACAATACTACTGATATAGAAACTCCCA